GTAGTTGAATAAGTGGCTTTCTAAGGCAATGCGAAACAAGTTGTCAACCTCCTCTTGTTGGTGGTGGACTCTCTCTCTCTCTCTCCTACAACTATTACTACTTGGACAAATTGTCCTAAATCTTTGATTTCCATTGTATGATCTGATCTTCAAAATTGAGAGGAATGAAATCCTTTATTTGTCTAAAAAATATTCTTCATGTCATTATAAGTTTGTAAATACTTTTTAGTCCACCTTTTTTTTTATAAAAAAACTAAAAGGGTCATTTACCATTACATCCCTGTAGTTTCATATAAATACTAAGACCTACCTTATAGTTTTGCATATTACTAAGAAATCCCTCTACTTTGCAACCACTTTTACTTAATTCACATTTTTGTTAGGAATCATATGTATATTTGTTTGGAAATGGTTTTTTTTATTATGAAAATACCCATAAAAGGTCTCATTATCACCCTTTTTGAAATGAAACCCTCCCCCATGTTATTTTATTTCAAAAATAAAACAAAAAATAATAAGCAAAAAATCATAGAAAATATAAAGGGAGATAATAGAAATAAAAATAAAAGTAAAATGAAGAACAACAGAAAAGTAATTTTAGGCAAAGTGCTAGTGTGCAGAAATTTATAAGCTATGAGCAGAATCAATATGTGACCACCACAACCCCCTTGTATTGACATGTGTATCATTTTATGACCCTAGGTCTCACTTTATGACCTTAGCTCCCATGAAATACAACCCCCTTGTATTGGCATGCATGCCACTTTATGACCTTAGCTCCTATGAAATGAGATGCTGATGTTTTTCTAGGGCTTTTTGCATAAAAATTAATAAAGTTTTGCATATTGACAAAATTGATACATTTGCAAAAAAATTGCAAAAACTTAGCGGAGAAAAATGTCTTTATTGGGACCATAATGCCCCTAATTTAAAAAGCCTTCCCTTCTTCTCTTCAACACTCTTTCACTCTTTGGTTCTTGTTATACTTCCCACTCACTAAATCTGCTATTCTTCTTGTTCGGGATCCCCAGTTCTGATTTACAAGTTCCAATGACAACGGTGGAAGCCTGTGTGTGTGTGTGTAACAAAACCTAGATATCAGCAGTGGTGGGTGGAAAGAGAGAGGAGTTTTGTCTTCATACGATGGGGACGGTGAGAAAAGGGAGAGGAGTTTTGTCTTTCTCTCCAGACTATGACAATGAAGACAATGAAAAGAGGGAAAGGAGTTTCGTCTTTCTCTCCAAACTATGACGATGAGGATGGTGAAAAGAAGGAGAGTAGTTTTGTCTTTTTCTCCAAACTATGACGATGAGGATGGTGACAATAGGGAAGTGTTTAACAAAACACCATCAAGCAATAAACATATTGGATGGTGTTTAGTAGATTTAGACAACATTCAGGAATAAATAGATCGGATGGTGTTTAACATATTTAGACACCACCTAACATTACACACAGGCTAGATGATTGCTTACAATTTTGATTCATCAATTTCAGAGGTGATATAATAATAAATACACCCTCAAATTCATCTAAAATCCAATAGACCACAAGGTTGTATATGATTTTCACAAGTGTACAGGTCATCTGGTATAATGGAGACCAGATGATGTTTTATAGACTTAGAAACCATCCAACATTAAACAAACTTGATGATTGCTTGCAATTTTGAAACATCACTTATAGTTGCAAACATCTATCCCCCAGATGATCTACTTGTAGTTACACCATCAAATGCATCTAAAACCCAATAAGCCACATGGTTCTATATAATTCTCATATGTATATAGATCATCCGATATAGGGTACACCGATGGTGTTTTAGACTTAGAAACCATTCGGTATTACAAAGTCTAGATGGTTAATTGAAGTCTTGAATCATCAATTACAATTGCAAATATCTATCACTCAGGTGATAAAATAGTATTTACACCTTCAAATTCATCTAAATCCCAACAAACCATAAGATTGTATATGATTCTCACAAGTGTATAGACCATTTGGTATAGGGAAAATCATATGGTATTTTGCGGACATAGAAATTAACCATCCGACATTACATAGGCTAGATGATTTCTTACAATTTTGATTCATATACAGGTGATAAAATAATAGATACACCCTCTAATTCTTCTAAAGCCCAATATACCATATTGTTGTATACGATTCTCACAAGTGCATAAACCATCCGGTATAGTGGAGACTGGATGGTGTTTTACAAACTTAGAAACCATCTGGAATTAAACGGATCAGATGATTGCTTGCAATTTTGAAACATAGAAAAAATATGCAAAAAATATGGATTCTAAATCAAAATTTTCATCTTCTTTTTTAATATAATATTGAGGGGCATTTCAATCTTGAGGGCCTTTTATTGGTAGGTTCCAACTCGAGTTGTATGTGCAAATATATTGTGAGTTATGCCATTTTTTCCTTCACTATGAAGTAGCATATATTCACTAAAATTCATATTTCTCACATACACCCAATTTTCTTATCCTTTCTATGGCATCCTTCACATGTCTTCTAGTAAACAAGATTCCTACTTGACTAATGTTTTAGCACTTGGTTTTTTCTAGACAGGATTCCTAAAAGAAACACAAATTCACATTTAGTTTTTGCTACAATGAAGGGAGAGACTTGTTAGTGGAGTCATAACTCAGAGCTAATTCACCTAGTAAAAAATCGCTTTTGTCATAAAAAACGAGTTAGAGAAACCAAGAGAGAGAGGGGGGGGGGGGAGAAATAAGGCCTTATGAATATGATGAGGAGAGGGAGAGACAAGAGACTTAATAGAGCAAGGATGAAAAAGCCCAAAACATCTGCTACTGATAGGGGTGAGCAAGAAAAACCAAAAAACCAAACCGAACAAAAAATTCAATTAACTAAACTGGTCGATTTGGTTTCGGTTCAGTATTTAAAAAAACCGAAGGTACCGATTTGATTTCAATTAACCAAAATAGAAAACCGATGGTTAATCGAACTGATCGGTATACTTATATTTATATATTATATATTTTATATTTTCTATATGTGAACGTCGGGAAAGTACCCCGGCAGTTCACTTGTAATCAATCCCATGTAAAACATGATCATCTTATATATAATACTAGCTTTTGCATCACACTAGGCTCTTCTAGTATACATATAAATTTCAGTTCTTCCTCATTCTTTAATCATTACCAGTTGCATCTCAATATCTTACAATTATATAAACCATTAAAGTACCTTTTTATGCTTAAATAACTCGTTTATAACTATATGAAACTTATATTGTTATTAATATTTTTTTTTCAGATTTATTTGAATTTTCTACCATATCCATGCTTACCTTGATTTTTGTCTATATCCATGCATATACAAAGTGTATCTTCTTATGTCTCTTAAAATTGCCTTATCCATGCATATTGCATTTTTGATACTTTCCTTGGTTTCAATCAATGTCGTAGACTGATGGTGCACAATCTGGTAGCTCCCTTTTGGAAGACAGCTCAGAAGTTGGGTTGAAGAGGTCAACAAGCCAAGATGCAAGAGAATAGTCAGAGTACCCACCCAGGGTACTTTACCCGAAGTGGGCACTCCGATGCTCAAGTTAACGATGAGTGTGAAGAATGCAAGAGAGCTAGAGAGTCAGAGTGCACAATTGCGCATACCTTCTGTGGTTGAAGGGTGTACCTTTATATAAGCAAGGGTAGGCGTGGGTCTCATGTAGTGCATCTGAGATCTCCAGGGGAACATGGCTTATCGGCCCGCCACCCTAGGAGATGGTTTTAGCAGATAGTGATAAGGCTTATCTGATTATCTATGAAGTGGCGGCATGGAAGTCAGTTCTGTCGATTAGGCAACATGATCTTAGAGGAATTGGAGACGATAAGTTGCACATAGCGGAAGTCAGTCACCACGTCACATAGGTTTTTACCTCGGACCTCAATCAGGTAGGTGAGTGCTTAGCAGGAGATCGGCCCTCTTGCAGAGGTCCTTGGTCTGCTCCTGTTGAGGTCTCTGGTCTGCTTCGCTGAGGTGTGTATGCCGCATAAGGCTATGTCCTCCTTTACCCTAGGCGAAGTGAAGCTGGGCGCTCGCTTTCAAAGCATGCGGGGTGCATCCGAGGTGTGTCTGAAGTGGCTCTGAATTATTAATTTATTAAGTATGGATTTAATTAATAGAACTTAATGATGAGAAAAAACAAAAATGACTTAAATATAAGATTCATTGAACATGGATGCAAGTTAATAAATTAAATGTTGGATTAGTGAGCTTCTGGCTAAATACACGGGTTGCAAGCTCAACCTAAATCCCGAGGCTATCCATCTTGTCCAATTTCCACACCTAATTGCAAGGATGGCTTGGTAAATGCTCAAGGTTCTAGTGATGGACACTTTGGTTCAACCAACACATTGGCGGCTTGGTGTTTTGCTTTTCCATATCAGCCCAATCCCCACTGTGTAATTCTATCTTTTGAGTTTTAAGCCAAATTAGTAGCCCTTAATTTCCTTTCAAGCATGGTTTTCGAATTGTCATTGACCGTGATGGTTGGACCGCTTGGCCCAAGAACCGTCCAGACAATTGGTTCCATTTTACCTCAAACCCGGTCCCTGGCCAAAAATTGATGAATATGACCCATTGACCTGGGTAGTCGAACCGTCGATCTATCAACCTGTTCAACAGTTTTTGGCCGTTTTTATTTTTAATTTTTTAATTTTTTGTTGTCAAAATGGACAATCCATTTGAATTGGACGATCGAACCATCGACCCAAAAACTAATGGTCAAAACAGTTCCATTTCTGGATCGTTTTTTAAAACCATGCTTGGAAGAGAAGGAAATGGTAAGATTTTGGGCCTGTGAGAAGAAAAAGAAAAAGGAAATGACAAGTTTTGACCAAACTTGGCTCAGTTTGGAAAGAGTACAAATACAAATATATACAGTACAAATACATACAAAAATGTAAGGTTTTGCACTGTATTTGTACTCCTTCCAAACTGAGCCTTTAAGGCAAACATAACAAAATTTGCACCATTTTACTCTGCAAAGGAAATTTTTGTATCGAGGAATTTTTACAGTGTCAAATCTGGCTACAGGCTACAACTTCATTTGATTCCTTCTAACATGACAGAACAAAACACAATAATCTCTCACACCACACAGGTTTTTCTTTTTCTTTTCTCTAAATTTCACCGCGTTTTGCTTCCTGCTTTCTGTCTTCTTCCCCTGTTCTTTCTTTCTGATCAATTTCTAGCAAATCTTCTCTTTCTCGCCTTCATTGACCATCCTCAAATTCCTCCACAGGTATCTGCCGCTAGCCATGTCCACGATGACCCAGAATCCATTTTGAATCGCCTGCAAAAGAAAAGAAAAACAAAGATGAGAAATTGATCGTATTAAATACAGTAATATTACAATAAAAAAGAAGAGGATAAATTAACAATCTCCAAGGGAAAGGAAAGCAAACCGATCGTACCCTTTTAAGATTGAATTCTTGATCTCCCTGGGAAGATACCTTCTCTGTGTCTGATGAATCGCCGTGGATCATGTCGTCAATGTCAGAAGAAGAAGAAGAGGAAGACCGGACGGTCCTCCAGGCAAAGTATCCGGCCAAGGTGGCAGACAGGAAGACCAGAATGATCCTGAGAGGACACATCTTCTAGAGCAGAGACGGTTCTAGAAGAGGATACCCCTCGCCGGAAAATGAAATTAATTTCTGCAACACCTGGCTTAGGGCGGCGGCAAGATATGCCGGAACAAAGAAAAAGGGTGTATCTACGGGTTTTCGTTCCTTTGTTAGTTGAAAGCGTGCGGCTACAAAATAACGAAATTCAGAGAGAGAGAGAGAGAGAGATTCTGGGTGTCTGAAAGATGAATATATTGTGGACTTATCTTGTGTAATGACTAATGAATGTATATAAATTGAGAAGAACGCGTAATGGGGTTTCCCAATTCTCAGCTTTTCTATGCCCAAGAAATAGAAAACGTCAATGGATTTGGTTTGGGCTTTACGTAGTCAACAGCTGATTCTTCTCTCTCTCCCTCTCCCCTTTTTGTTAGTGGGCAAGTGGCAATTGCCAGGGCATCTTCTTGACTTGGAACGTGTTAGTTGTACAGTGGGTAACTGGGTATTGATTACTTTTTTTTTTCTTTCAAAACATGTGTTTGGTTTGATATAAAATAAGACGAAAACGGAAAGTTGAGAGGGCATTTTTAAGGTCCGTTTGGTTGTGAAGAATTATGCATCTTTTATGGTCTTATTTGATATGTGAAGAAATTCATTTTCCAATATTACAGTTAAACAAAAAATAAAAGAAACAAAATAAGTTGGATTGATCTAGGTTGTGTTTGACATATCACATATGGTGATTGATGAAGGAAGATTTGGCCCGACCTCGCAATCACTCCACATGGCAAAAGCAAACAGCTCGGGACAAACAGCGCGCCCAAGGCATGGGCATCAAAGGGAGGAACCAGCGGTCCGAACTCCCTATTAGGAGTCCGAACTCCCTACTAGGAGTCCGAACTCCCTACTAGGAGCCTGAGCTCCCTACAAAGCCCGAGCTTCGCAAGGTAGTGACCCAAACTGGCCCGCCTCATGGCAGTTCGGGACGCTCCCCCATCCGAACTCAAGACTTCATCTCGCTCACCA